ACAGTGTTGACCCTTGTTCTTCATAACCTCTGCAATTCACTCTGGCATGCTGAGTATTAGCTTCTGGGCCAAATCCTGACTGATAGCGATCCATTCTTGCCTTATTAGTTCTCGGAGTTGTTTACAATTTGTGGGCTTCTGCTTGTCCACTGCTTCACCTTTTGAGGACTGACCACAGGTTCTCTATGGGATTGAGATCCGGGGAGTTGCCTGGCCACGGATTTCAATGTAATGGTCTTGGAGCCACTTCTTTATCACTCTTGCTTTGTGACATGGTGCTCAGTACTGCAGCTACTTGTGTCGCTAACTATGTTAAACCCATGTTCTTTACATGAGGGGATTGTGTTCATCATCATTTATTTCCCACAACAGGCGTGAGGGATGGCAGAGCTCAATTAAGATCCAGCCTAGTGTCCAGCTGATGGTCCTCTTCGCCAGAGGAGACTGGGGAAAGCGGGATTCAGTCTCTGTGGAACTGGCTGATGAGAGGAACATACCCATTAATATGGGAAAACTAACACCATTCAATAAGTACGTTTGCTATTTACGTTAAATCTGTCCAGTATGATTTAATAGTAGCCTAACCTTTAAACCCTTACTAAACCTTTCCTCTTCTCAGATGTCTGTCGTGGGAATCTGGTGAGGATGGTGTCTGGTCCAGTGGAGCAACCTTAACTGTAAAACTCATTGGGGTGAGAGACCGTTCAAGCTCAGTTACATTTTGTGTTACACAACAAATCCCAAATGAAATCTGAAGAGTTATGATATTTTCTGTGCTGATTTTTAAAGTCAGTATGAAATGGAAATTCATCCATTTTTAAGAGCATAAAGCATGTTGTTGATTTATTTGTGAACGATTCATCAACGTCATCATAACTCAAACTTCTGGTAAACGCGCTACATTTCTTTCTAGTGATGTATGCCAGTCTTCAGTCATTTAGCCTGCTTAAATCCTTTCTTGCAATCGACCTCGTGCTTTCATTCAGAATTGCCAATCAGTCAATGAACGTTCTATAGATAGAACCAAGTCCTTGTCAATCATCCATTTCACTTGGATGTAAGTCACAAAATTGAAGATCTGTCACTGCTTCCATATCATGGTGAACATTTCCAAGGATGTTACAGTCTTTGCTGAAAGCGTAATCAAATTATCCATAATATATAAGAAATAAGATGTAATGCATTTTGTGTGAAGTCTTTGTATCTGTGCATACAGTAATTGACCCATGATCCTGTTTTCCAAAGGGTACTACAGAGTTGTTGGATCCGGGGCTGACTCTTTCACAGATGGAATGCACTCCAGAGGTGAGTTTAACCTGCCTGAGTAAAGGCTGATAAATACTTCTGTGTCAAGGCTGCGGCGTAGCCTGACGTGCACCTCTCCAAAAATGTCACAGCGCGTCAATTCTACGAGGACCGCAAGCGCTGTGATTGGTCTGCTAGTACCCCTCCCTCCATTTGCATTTGAGTTTTGTGTGTGTTTTTTGAACTTCAATATATTTTAATGTTATACCTTCTTATTTAAAATAAAACAAAGCAAAGAACAAGTGTCTTATTTATTATAAAACGTAGCATTACTCATCAGTTCTTTGTTGTTGTTCGCGACACACATTGTTGTTCTGCCATTGTACAAGTCCTTGCGGAGATTGAAAGAATGCCATCTTCTCCTGTTCTGTTGTCGTTTCTTTTTTGTTGTTTTAAATAAATGGTCTGTTCTTTGATATGTACTTGCTGCCATCACGGCTGATCGTTTTCCGACAAGCTGCTTCAGCTTTTGTCTTCAGTGTCTTCTCACTTCATTGTTTCCAGTGCATTCATGCAGTACCTGCATTAAGAGAGTGTCCAGGCAAGAGGAAGCGATCTCAGGGAGAGGAGGAGGAGGAAGTTAATGAAGGTAGAGGCAAGGAGAACATCTGCCCTAATGCCTCTGAAAAGGTGACACCTCAAAGACGGAGCAAGAACAATCATCATGGAGGTCAGACACGTCTCTTCTCACAAAAGGAGGAACATACTGCAACTTCCAGTTCTCAGAGCCACAAAGCTAAAGGCAAGCAGGCCAAAACCCCCTCACAAACTGGTGAGTGAATATTTTCATTGCATACATGTGGAACATATGAGTAATGTGGAATGGTAGTTATTGTATGTTTAACACTGTCTTTTCAGCTCCACTGGACAAGCCGTCAGGTCGTTGGGGTCAAACTCTCTGTCCCATTGATCCTCAGACAGCGATTTTGATTGGAGGACAAGGTGCCAGAATGCAGTTCTGCAAAGACCCCATTTGGAAACTGTGCACAGGTAAGCATTTCACATTGTCTCATGTCAGTAGATTGTAATATATTATTAAATATGTTTTTACTTGGTAGATGCAGCTCTGCTCTTAATATTTTTTCAGAGGATCTTTCTTGGGTACCTGCTGAAACCCTTGCAGAAGGACCCACCCCTGAGGCCCGCATTGGTCACACAGCGACCTATGACCCGGAATCTAAGCGTATCTTTGTGTTTGGTGGCTCAAAGCATAAGAAATGGTTTAATGATGTTCACATCTTAGACACACAAACCTGGCGTTGGACTTTGGTTGAGGTTAGTCTGCAATTGATTCTAAGATTAACAACAAAACCCTTCAAAATATTCACAGAACTATACAGTATCACTGTAACACATGTCTAGGCACATACGATTTATTTTTGTGTCATAGATATCATCTGGTTGTAGTCCATAATAAATCCAAGTCTAATTGTTTTATCCAGTAGGTTCTGAAAATATTATAAAGCGGATTTGAATTTCATTTACCCCTTTAGGCGCAGGGAAAAGTGCCTCCCCTGGCCTACCACAGCTGCAGTATGTTCCGAGGAGAGCTCTTTGTGTTTGGAGGAGTGTTTCCTCGCCCACACCCAGAACCAGATGGCTGCAGTGACTCCATCTACATCTTTAACCCTGAAATGGCCATCTGGTATCAACCTATTGTCAATGGAGAGAAGCCTGCGCCACGCTCTGGGTGGGGAGCTCATGTCTTTTTATTCAAAGTTGCATGATGTAATATTTCATTAACTGCATGACTTATGTTTTCAGCTGTACTGAACATGTGGCAGATGAGTGTTTTCTTTTTGATTTGTTTGTGCAGGCACTCAGCATGTGTGATGCAGGGCAGGATCTTTGTTTTTGGAGGATGGGACACCCCTGTATGCTTCAATGACATGTTCGTGCTAGACCTTGGTAAATACTGCAAGAATTGTTACTCTTTCAAGATTTATTAGATTTTTAATTCAGGTGGCTTCTTATTGGGGAAAATAAGCAATAACATAGTTCACCACTAATAAAAGTAATTTTATTACTATTGCTAGAGTCTACTAGATTCAACACTTTTTCTTTGTTTGAAACCGTTATAATTCAATAGATCTGTCCTGATTTTTCTGCATATTTAATACCTGGTATGACTCCCTAGTGTTTTCACACATTAATTACTGAAGGTGCTCTTTTAAAAATGGGAGTAGTCAGCTTAAAATACCACATTTTCACCACCTATTTCAGGCCTGATGGAGTTTTCTGTTGTGAAGGCAAGTGGAACAGCCCCGTCTCCCAGAAGGTATTTAAAAAGTCTTTATTTACTACGAGGAACAGTTTGTTCTTTAAATCGTGCTCTACTGCAAATTAAATATATAATAGAAATTCAATCAATTGTCTTATAATGGGTACATGATTGGGCATATCTTGATCAGCCTAGATGTACTGAGTATTTGACCTCTGACCCTTACTGTATCGCAGCTGGCATGGCTGTGCGGTTCTTTCAGACTGCAGCTTCCTGATCCATGGGGGCTACAATGGGAACAACGCACTGAGTGATGCATTCGTCTTCAACACGGGTGAGAACAAGGTTTTATGTCGAAATTCCATGGCCAGGGCTCTCATTGGTACTATATACTCTACTGTAGGGCTGGGACAATAAATCAGTGCATCGTGATTCTCTCTGGAATCGATTCTGAGCTTATTTTTTAACAGCAGATGGCGCTCTAGGCTAGATTTTAACCACACACTCAAATGCTCACAAAGAAGAGCCCTTGTGCATTCGGTAAGTGTAAGTGGTTAAATGTACTTGCACCTTGGCTTTCATGCTTTTATGATGTGAGATTAATGTAAACACAGCCCATTATGAACCACCTTGTAATTCGCTTCAACCTTTTCAAACTGTATGAATGATTATTTTTATGTTCAAGTGGTGTGTATAAGGAAGCAAGCAGAGTACAGCTGTTTCTAAAGCATGCAGTGCCATCTGTTAAAAACTAAGCTCAGAATCGATTCCAGATAGATGCATTCCGATAATCTCAGAATCGATGCAGAACAGTTACTGCGATTCGTGATGCATCGATTTACTGTCCCAGCTCTGTTCTACTGTTCAAAGATGTGGGTAAGACTTTTATGTTGTTGAAAATATTTTATACATGCCAAAGCTGCATTCATTTGCTCAAAAATAGAGTAAAAGTAATATTATGAAATATTATCACAATTTACTACAAGCTTTTCTGTTTTAATGGTTTGAAATTAAAATTTATTCCTGAATATTTTGCATCCATTACTCCAGTCTTAAGTATCCTTTAGAAATCATTCTAACATGCTGATTTTGTGTAAAATGATGCATTTAAAAAAAAATAAAATCAGGATTGATCAATATAAAGTTAACAGCATTTATTAAAAAATGTAAATCTTTTATAACATTGTAAATGTATTTATTTACATCTAAATGCCTAGAGTAAAATGATTAATTTCTTTAAATAATCTTACTGACCTCATACAATGGTATAAATGCTGTTGACAGATTTTAAGATTATATTTAACCTGGAGTATAAAGACAGCCTTCTTTTTCTCTTCAGACACTAGTTGCTGGTCCTCTCTAGCTTTTCCCCAGCTCAATTCTGTACCCCGAGCTGGACATTCCATCATTACCATGCCCACAACATGCAAACAGGTGAAAACATTCAAATTCAAATGATTAAGATCCTTATCAAGTGGCTTCAGTTCATTATTTATAATAATTGTCTTTGTTTTACAGGGATGTACAGATGAACAAGAGGAACTTCCAGAGTCAGCCCCACAAACACTTCTAGTTTTTGGTGGTGGTGACAACGAAGGGAGCTTCTTCTCTGACCTTTTCACTATGCCAGTAGAGGAGCTAAGAGACTAAACATTTGATCAAGATTTGGTTTTTGTATGTGTGTGGATTGATGTTTGTTTATTTAAAGAGGTATATTACACTTTCACTCAGGTATTTGCATTATGTCCTCATTTATTAAGAGTGGACTGTTTCCTAAAGAAGAGAAGTAGTTAATCGAAGTATTATTTACTTACCCTAGAGTGGTTTTGAATCTGTATTCTGTTCTTCAATAGAACATCAAAGAACAAATATAAAAGTCATCACAGCTTTTTTTCTTTCTAAGAAGTCCATAGTGACCATGACTGCCAAATCCAATATGCCAAGTCCATTTGTGTTGTTATATTGCACGTCTTCTAAAGCCATAAAATAGCTGTTGACAAACAGACCTAAAAAATTGCTATGATAGCTGTTAGTTTATCAGATTTGTTTAACATCATGACATCAATTCTGATTTATTAAGAACTACGATGATTGTTTTTTTTTTTGTTGTGAAAACCTAAACTCTAATTTTGTTTCTCACAGAAAGTGCTCTTGTGTAGTGTAAAGATTCTTCAGAAATTCTCATTTTGTGCTCCACAACAATTAACAGCAGTTGTTTATGGATTTACATAAGGATGAGTAAACAATGACAGGTTTTTAATTTTGGGTTGAACGATTCCTTTATCTGTCAAAGAGGGAGAGTCACTTTGTGATTCACACACCCTCAAGATTTGATCTGTGAAAGCTTGGTGATGTCTGTTTTGTGTATAACGTTACATGCCTAGTTTTAGACTAAGATTTTTTTGTTTGTTCTTTTTAAATGGCTGTAAATGTATTCATACGGTGTATAATTCTATCTGTAAATACTGTTGCAGCAGGCCTGTTCAAAATTAAACGTTCTTTGGAAATTCAAATGCCTCTTTGTTTTGAGTTATTTCAGCACTTCTCACACAATCACGCAGCAGGTCAGGCACACCGATGCCGTTTCCTGTGTCCAGGCATCTGCTCGATTTCCTGTGTCCAGGCATCTGCACGGTAACAACGACCGCATGATGTCACCCCACGTCTACAGTCGCCGTTACTGCCGCGAATACCGCAGTATGCGAGCACCGACTGACGCTAGAGGATCCGCGCTCAGCCCCCTCCGCTCCCGCTACTGCCTCCGCTCGCTCCAGAGATCAGCCATGTTGTTCCGGTATCAGGCACGAGCGCTTGAGCAGCTCGGCCGCAGTACGACACCGATCCGCCTCCACTGAAACCCGTTTCACCGCAGCCCCGAAGCCAAGCATGGATTTTACTACCTGACTCTGGATGTTTGGCCTTGGACGCGAGCCCTCAGACGCGTCGTTTCATTCAGGAACCGTTTGTCGCCGGGATCCAGTGAGTAGCGGAAGACGGTTTCGCGGATCATGAGGGTTTTTCGGGATTGATCATTTTTTGAAACCCGTCTTAGGTTAGTTAGTCCTTCGTCATTAGCACTCACGGTTGTTTTTCTTCACATCCGTGTTTAGTCGAGCGACGCTTGTTTCCGTGTATCTCAAACTGACGGTTGAGGTATTTTCAGCTTTTGTTGACACTTGTTTTTGAAGGTCGGTAAAATTGTGATTTTTGGCTGGCCTAACACTTAATATCGCTCGCAGAGAGACCCTTTTCCTTTTTGTTTGCTCATTCTCTATGACTGTTAAGGAACAAATGAATTGTTTTAAAACTCTCGCTCATTCGGTTGGGAAGCAAATATAAATGTAAGTGAGCTCCATGTTAGTCTCCCCGAGAAGACTTCAAATCCTTCATAAATCCTCCTCAAGTACCTGCTGTTTATTTTCAACTGGAGACTTCAAAACAAGTTTTTTTCCCCCTCCACATGTGGACTGATGTTGGGCTTCAACTTGTTGATCTCTGTCTGCGTGGCTAGTTCAGGCTAGCTGGCAACACTGATTTGATTACTTCTGTCAGAACAGACGAATAGCCTCTAACGACAAGCTTATAAATGCTTGTCAACCACTGAAAACGATTCTGCATTTACATTTCCCCCTTTGGCCCTGTTTTTGAGAATCCCTGGGTGAAAATGTCAACCCGGCCTCAAGGAGTAGGTGTTATAGAGAATTCATCCAGCCAGGTGAGACATATCTTCACACTGACCGCAGAGAAACTAATATGTATATGAATATGTTTTTGTTGTTGGGAATGACCTCATGCTTGCTTTTCTATTGAACTGTATTTCCCTCAAGATTGCTGGGAGATTGCAAAAAAAACAACTCAACATGCCTTCCCATAACTGTTAATTGATAGGCTTGTCAAGGCTACATTCATGCTCCTCACTGTAGATGTTGTAAATCTGGTGTCTTTTATGGCTTCATGTCTTTACTGGAAGTCATTTTGTTTAGTGGGAAAACTGAAAATCCTAGCTATTCCTCATACTAATAATCAATGTCCTCTGATATAACAACGAGTCAAGCCAATGCTGATTAAGTTAACAACTAGTTTAGACATATCAATCTCAGTGGTTCTCAACCAAGGGGCCGGGGCCCACTGGGGAGCCTCAGCAAACATCCAAAGGGGCCTCAAGATGGCTTAAATGTTTTAAAATTAGGCAAAATCAACTTCTGAAATTCAGATTATTAAATTTAATTATTTTGATTTTACATTTTATTTTTTTATTTTTTTATTTTAATATGTGGACACTGCCAATATTTATACAATATAAAAGCAGGGTTTCAAAGAAGGCCTCAATATGACTTAAAATTATTTAAATAAAAACAAAACAAGCTTTAAAATAAGATGAAACCATTTAAAAAATCAAGTTATTTTTTATATTAATTAATCTCTTAACTTCTGCAATTCACCAATTGTTTTTTATTTCAATGATAGTTTTTCTTATTTTAATCTGTGGACACTGCTACTTTCTGTAAATTAATCAAGCAAACTTCCAAGATGACTTCAAATGTTTTAAAATAAAACAAGCTTTAATAAGCTAATCTAAAAATCAAGATTTTTTTTATATCACCCCCAAACTTGTGGAATTCAAGAATTTAATTATTTTAATTTGAATTATTATTATTTTAGTTGCTTATTTTAATATGCAGACACTGATCATTTCTATAAATTAAAAAAAGCAGACTTCCAAGAGGCCTCGAGATGGATTTCAAATAAAACAAGCTTTAAAATAAGCTAAAACAATAAAAATTCAAGCTCAAGTTTAATTCATTTTAAATTGTAATTCTTTTAGTTACTTATTGTAATCTATGGGCACTCCTAATTTCTGTACTTTAAAAAAAGAGGGACGGGAATTTAAATGTTTGAACATGTTTAGAACCACTAGTCTATAAAAGAAATCAGTCAACAGGTAGTGCGTTGGATTTGGGAACTATGAAGACCATAGGCAGTGAAAATAACCAGCCTTGCCCCTCTCAATGTAATAAGGCACAGATTGCAGTGCGAGTGCCAGAGGACGGAAAATTGAACCATTCAGAGCGAGGAGGAGGACAGATTCAGTGCTCATTAATAACTCATGCCAGTGTGACTAATGCTGACTGAGCTTCATACAATACAGGCAGCACTAACGTGTGTGTTTTCCGTTAAGTGGCTTAATGAAAAGCGAAGGACTTTATATCCTTGTCCAGATCTCCAGATGCCCTCTCTGAGATCTCTAACCTCTTGTGCAGAGTCTGTCTGTTTTAGCTGAGGAAGAGTGTGAGGAGTGAATCATTGGTGTTAATCATACTAGTGAGGTTGTGGGGGAGTTTCAGCCTGCTATGTAGGAGGAGAGGTATGAAAATGTGTTAATATTTTGCATTGTCTACCATTTGGGTGGATCAGGCGCAGGGAAGGATGCTTTGCATAAAAAAGATCGGACTCGGAACAGTGTGTTTATGACTTGGACCATGTTTTGCATCTTTGGGAGTTTTATCTGTCATTCACTCTGCTGTTTCATCATTTTAATATACACACAAACATGATATTTTTTTCCATATTACTCTTCACAGACTTTCATGTTCAGCCTGAATTGAGGCCTATTTGGCCTGTGACTCTGTTCTCCAGCTTTACGGCATCCATGTCTGAGAAGCACACCACCTCAATAAGTGTTAACACAGGGTTTCCTTGTCCTCAGTAACTCAGTGTGTCACCTTGCTGATACTGTGACCTGACACCACAGGCTTGTGTTACAGATCCCTGAAATCCCAGACCCCACTAACACAGATTTAGAGAGAGAGAAAGGGGCTTCACCTCTTTCTCATCCTCTGACCTCTGTGTTCTGATGTTTTAGCTAAATTATGTGCACTGAAAAAAATGTTTCATTCATCCAATTAAAAAAATGTAGGGTAATGATTCACATCTATATTTTTTAACTTGAGCTAATGGAAAAATAAATAACTTGCCCTTTTTTTAATTGGATGAATGAAAAAAAAATTTCAGTGTGGTTTAGGAACTCTGTCCGTGAAGTGAACATACAATCCAAATGGCCTCTATTTACTACTTTAATAAATGCTTTTTGGTCAAACTGTCCGCAGTTAATTAGTGCATGTTGTTCCAAAAGGAAAATGTTTTTCAAAATGTAGTTGATGTCTCTGAAATGTCTTTTCAGCTGACGTCACCTAAGCTGCATGTGGGACAGATAATGCTAACTAATAGCCATATAGCTGTATAGGATTTGTTTTAAGTATTTTTTGGGCAATGCAGTAATTCAATGCTAATGTAATAAAAAGTTTAGTGGATTTATATGGATTTTTTATTGGCCAATGCCGATATGAGATATATGTTTAATTTAAAGATAGTAAATAGCACATTCTGCAATTAAATTTAGATTTATTTTACATAATATGTACTAAATTAGAAGTAAATCATTTGAAAATGAATCAAAATGGCAAAAATAATTTGAACTTCATAAAAAGAGTGAAAAACAGATTTATACTTCAGATAGTAAAATCTTGTAGTATTTGTTTATTAGATATACAAAGACTTACATTTTATAAATACACATTTGCAGAATGCTGATTAGGGATGTAACGATTACCGGTTTTACGATAAACCCTGACGGTTAGTATTACCATTTAAAATGTAATTATCATCAAAACCGTGTTTGATTATCGCAATTTTGAAAACTCGCAGTAAATCCTGTCCAGCCAACATCAGTCTGACGCAGAAGCAGCATGCAATGTTGTTGTTGTTTTTTGCACGAGACGAAATGGCGGAAGGCAGTGACAGCGCTCGGGAGATTTTTCAGCCATCTAAGAGAACAAAAATCGGTGGTCTGGTCGTATTTTGGCTTTTACAAGAGTCCTGAAGGCAATTTAATCGAGGACGGTCACCCTGTCTGCTGATCTTGCAAGAAGAAAGTAGCTGCAAAAGGGGGAAACGTGTCAAATTTGCTCCGTCATCTTCGTGACCACCCCCCACTGTTATATAGCAAATGCAAGGTAACTTTGACCTCATTACCAAAACTAACTGGGCAAATAATTGGACAAAAAATATTGATTAGAGATTAATTCAAATATTGTCTAATTGTGTCTTATTTACTATTAAACGTTTTCAAACTAAACTTGCTTACACTACCGTCTTAAATCATATTTCTATCACTGACGAAAAATGTTGTCTTACATTAAAATAGACCAATTTAATTAGCCTATTCTATTTATGTTTGTATGTGAACTCGAAATCAACCCCAACTTTGCTTTAAAAAGCATCACAAGATCTCCTAACCGAAGATCACATGATCACTAACGGAAATCACATTGTGTGTGTGTGTGTATATAAATATATATACACAAGTGATTTATTATTATTATTATTATTATTATTAGGGCTTCATGTTAATGTTAATTTAATGTTTTTGCTAAAAAAAAAGTGCATATAGCTGCTAATTGTATTTGTTGTTTGTTGATTTTCAAATATAAAACTTATTAAAATGTTTTCAGTGTGTGTATCAGTTCTTTTTGAACGTTTTCATCTAATTTTAACAAAACCGTGATAATATTGATAACCGTGATAACTTTGGTCACTATAATCGTGATATGAAATTTTCATACCATTACATCCCTAATGCTGATAATATATGAGAAAGTATTTTAGTGTTTGTCTTTCTATTTCTTATAATACTAATAAACACTGTAATACTTTTTCTTTGTTTACCATCTTTGCGTCTGCGCTCAGGCAATGGTGTTCTCAGGACTGTCAAAATAAAAGTCAGACACTTCCGGCACTTATTGGTCCAAACAGAAAAACTTATTAGTGATGCCTATAATAAAAAAAAGCCAAATGTCAGCCAATACATTAGTGGACCACTGAAAGGTTCAGACTGTAATTGCACATTTTTGACCGCGAGAAATTGCCATTGGGACACATCAAGATGCTCTCAAGGGTGACCTTGACCTTCATTCTCCACATCCCACCTGAAAGGCCTACTCAAAAGTGGTTGCCCAAATTGCAAGTTCTCATTTGGTCTGACTTCTGAAATGTAACACCAGTTTGCATTTGCTATGTCATTTGGAAATATACCACATTGCTGATTATGTTGATTGATAAGATGTTTTGGTAATTTTTGGCCGTTGTTTACAATCTATGTGTACTGAACGGTCATTGTAAGTTTTTTATGAATAGCCTATATTGTCGCTGTTGGATATCACTATTTTGCGGATGTCTACTCAAAAATGAAAATTGTGTCCTCATTTACTCACCCTCAAACATTTTTTTGTTCATACAGTAAAAGTCGATTAGGTCCAACGTTAGTTTGGAAAAGTTTGGAATGAAATGAAGATGAGTAAATGATGACAGAAATGTCTTTGCACTTGCCTGGTTTTACAGCTCACATCTTGGCGAAGTCCTCAAAATGCATTCTGTGCTGTTCAGTCTGGTGTGCTTTGTTTGGACATCCTCCATAGTAGCACAGATCTCTGTCATGTCCGCTGACCCTGATCAGTCTCAAAGACTTTCCACTGCAGTGATTTACTCCATTAGCACTTCTCGCTCCACTAGGCAGATCATTTCACCGGAATAAAAACCTTTTTTTTTAAATGCCAGCAGTTAATGTATGTGAAAGTAGTAATCCTGAAATTATCCAGTCAGTCAAAACTGATCTGCAAGGACTAGATAGCATTGCAGGTATGTAATCTTTTGAGATGC